CTAGGGATGATCAATTGTGCACAGGGTGGAACAGGCTTTAATTTCTCCTGAAGCATAAATTGTGTTCCGTTCCTTCCCCCCCCTCCACACACACACCCCGACAAAGCCACATCCTGCTTCCCAATTGGCATTTTCCCTGCCTTATTCTCCCCAAAAACTGCTTCAGGCACCTCTAAACCCACCAGTCTGAGCATCAGCCCTAAGTGGGAAAAGTTGAGCAGCTGCAGCTCCACAAATCCTTGATAAACTGTGCTTGAGTCGAGGGGGGGAAAAAAATCCTGTGCAAACCCCTCTGCTGCAATTCGGGGAAGGAGAAGATGAATTGTTTTAGAGCCCCAACCTGCAAAAACAAAGTCCCAATGATGAAAATACATGCCTGGCTGATTTAAGGGAGCTGCCAAGAAGGTAAGGACGCTGTGACTGATGGCAAGGATGTGTCCCCACACACTTCCCAGGCTCACTTGCATCACCCGCCCACAGATTTAAGGCTCAGCCTAAATCAAACTGCTGTATTTATTTGCAGAGATTCAATTCCAGGTGTGCTGCAGGTAAAGCAGCAAGTGGTTGAATCCCCTAGTTTCTGTTATCTCAACAAGGAACGTAGGTGTGTAGACCTGTAGCCAGGCTCCCAAGGGATTTATGGAAAAATCCATATATAAAACACACCAAAAAAACCCCAAAATACCCTCTGGATGTGAGTTTGACTAAGACTGAAGTGTTACTGCACTTCTAGCTGGGTGAGAGAATAGGAAATGCATGGGCCTGCAAGCCACCAGACAGCAAATCCGGGAGCTGTGCAATAAGCAGAGATTGTAGCCATGGATCTGGAGAGGGAAGAAGTTCTTCCCCACTGCACACCACTCTCACTGATGCTCTTCATCCTCTCTGGAATAAATTACCAGGGAACGAAGCATCAAGTTTTCCACCTGCAGCACAGGAAAGGTAACAGCCCTGCTCCTGTTGTGTTCAGCCTGGAAAAGAGAAGGCTCCAGGGAGACCTTGGGGCCCCTTCCAGTGCCTAAGGGGCTCCAAGAGAGCTGGAGAGGGACTTTGGACAAGGGATGGAGTGACAGGACAAGTAGGGATGCCTTCAAATCAAAAGAGGATTGATACAGATTAGATCTGAGGAAGTTCTTTTACAATGAGGGTGGTGAGATCCTGGCACAGGTTGCCCACAGAAGCTGCGGTTGCCTCATCCCTGGAAGTGTCCAAGGCCAGGTTGGACGGGGCTTGAAGCAACCTGGGTTAGTGGAAGACATTCCTGCTTATTGCAGAGGGGTTGGACTACATGGCCTTTAAAAGGTCCCTTCCCATCCAAACCATTCTGTGATTTTACTTGCACACATTTATTGTGACTTCAGAACAAGTCACAGCCTAAAAACCATCCTGATCTTCCTCCAAAAAATGCAGATCCTGGGTCCAAAAGCCTCCAACTTCAGATAAAGCCCTACATTCACATTAGACCTGCTAACATTTGCTGAAAACAAATCTTACCATCAAAGCCTAAGTTGTAAGGATGAAAAGCAGAACAGAATAATAATAATAAAAAAGCCTTTTTTCAGGTACCACAAGGAAGCACTAAAACACCCAGGAGGAAGAACCCAAAAGTCACTACTGGGCAGCATTTTAGTGCTTTGAAATCTGCACTGGTTTGGGCTCAATATTCTATGCCAGGGCAGCCAGTATTAATTAGAAGTGAGACAGGCCATACCTTAAACCCCAGATTTCTTCAAGCCATCCTTTTCCATACACATCTGTGTGCACAGCCCAGCATTTCATGCCAATGGTTAATTGTTGGAGTTTTACGAGGCCGTGCCATGTTTTGTTGGCTCAAACCTTAATCCCACACAGGGATCTTTTTAAAACAGAATTAGAGTGAAGTGCATCCAATTATGCTCGTGGAGAGTTGCACATACATCACACAGAGACCAACAGGATGATGCAGAGCTGTCACTGCATCTGTAATTCCACTTAGTTGCCTGCCAGCACCTGGAACCTGGGGTCCAGCTCATCCCCAGATGGGAATTTTGGATGTTTTAGCCCCATACAAAGGTGGGCAGCAACCTCACAGCAGCTCACCCAAAAAAGTCTCCAGCAGGAGAGAATCTGGACACCATGTTCAGCTAAGAGACCAATCTGTGACGACCAGAACGTGTTCTGAGGCTCACAGACATCACAGCAGGGCTGTTTATCTTGTTCCAAGTCACCTCAGAGGTTTTTCCTGCTAGAAATTAGGCAAGTGTATTTTCTCATCATTTGGGTTGGAAGGGACCTTCAAAATCATCCAGTTCCAACCCCCTGCCACTGGCAGGGACACCTTCCACGAGCCCAGGTTGCTCCAAGCTCCGTCCAACCTGGCCTTGGACACTTCCAGGGATCCAGGGGCATCCACAGCTTCTCTGGGCAACCTGTGCCAGGGCCTCCTCACCCTCACAGGGAACAATTTCTTCCTAATATCCCACATTTTATGCAGCAAGTGCACCTGACACCAGGGAGCAACCAGACCCAGGCAGTCCTGGAGAACCCTCTTAGTGCAAGATGGCCCTTGGTCAGCCCCTCTTGACCCCAGCAGTGCTGCCAAGAGAGCAGAGTTAATCCCTCTGGCAAAAGGAATCATTTCAGCCCAACAAAGGTCTCACCCAGCCTGGGGAAAGCAAGAAAATAAGATTAGGATGCAGAGATGTCATTCCCACACTTGGTTTTCCTCTGTGTTCACAGAGCACCAGAGGATCTTGTATGATCCTGGTGCACTGGGCTCCCTTGGGGTTGGAAATGAGGTGTTTGGGACATTTGACATTGCCTAAACCCCTGCTTTCCCCCCCCCCATCAGCTTGTCTTGCTGGAGACAATTCCTGCAAGTGCTCAACTGCACAGTTTTGTACTAGGAAATCAAAGCTTGAGCATCAAAAAAAACCCAAAACATCCCACAAAAAAATCCCAACAAACAAATAAAAACAAACATCACCCCCAAACCCCTAAAAACAAACAAAAACCACAAAAAAACCCAAACTCCAAAACCAAACAAACACCAAAAAACAAACAACAAAAAATACAAAAACCCAAAACAAACAGAATCCCCCCCAAAACCCAAACAAATTCCCAAAAAAAACTTCCAAAGAGTGGCAGCAACAAAAGGGAATTTCTGAAGAGTTCCCTTGCAGAGTGGACCAGGGAACAGCTCACTCCCAGACATACCTTGCCCACAGCATAATTAAACCTCACTTTGGGATTAGGGTATTTTTTTTTTCAGCAGTTCAGGTTCTTTTTCTTAGGAGAGGTTAAGGGGCTCATCTCAGCCACCTTCAAGCACCCAGTGAGTCAGCCCTCCAGGAGGATCAGCAATGCCCTCTGCAGCCACAGACTTACTGGGTATGGATAAAACCCACCCTGGAAGATGCTTCTGAGAAAGAGCTGATAGCCCAGATGACTCCAACAGCTGGAGTCTGAGCAATCCTATGCCTGATAGGGAAAAACTTGGATTTTGGCTCCCTGGACCACTTTGATTTTGCCATGGGGAAAAAAAAAATAAAAATCTCCCTTCACACCTGCCCTTAAAGTCTGGACTTTTTTTCAGCCTAAAGCCCATTTTTCAAACCTCCATCCTTGAATTTGAAATGTGACCCAGCACATCAGAAGTGCAGTTTTCCTTAAAAATCCTGAACATCTCAGCTGAAAAAAAAAAAAAAAAGGATACAACTAATACCACCATCACAAACATCATTGCTTCAGGGAAATAAGGAAGCCTTTTTTGTTCTGTTTTGAATTGAAGGGAAAACACTTATAAAAAGCCCAGGAGGACACACAAGGAAAGGGAACTTCAGATGCAGAAGAATCCACAGCACTTGCATTCCTCATCCCCAAACAATGCACCCCACGGCATTAAGCCCAGACTTGTCATAGCAAAGCACAGTTCCCTTAAATCTTTCAATTAAGATGGCATTTGTAAAATTGCAGGCTTGGAAATTGCTAGATATTATTCCCTAAATTAAAGTCATTGCTCAGAGTCAAAAAGCAGAACTTTGATTATCTTGAACAGGGGTCCAGGCCATAAATGTTCTGCATCACCATTCCCAATAATTGCTCCCTGCAGATCGACGGGGATTTGCATGTAATCTAAAAATAACTTAGAACAAACTTAAAGGACTCTCCGATACTGTGACACCAAGGATAATCCAGAGCCTGTGCATTTAATCCCCAAAATAGTCAGTGCCCATACAGGCAGGCTCCAGGATGCCTCCAGCTGCTGGGACAAAGTGCAGGCTGCTGCCATGTCCAAGAGCTGCTTTTCCTCAGCATATCCCATGAAAGCCAGCTTTGCCAGCCCTCATCCTGCCCCATTTAGCATGTTCAGTACAGAGGATATTAAACAATGTCCAAGAGGCAAAAATTCAAGGCCTGGCTGGACGGAGCCCGGAGCAACCCGGTCTAGTGAAAAGTGCCCAAGCACAGATCCCACACCAAAGCACATTTGGGTGGAATTCGGCCCTTGGGCCCTCACCTGGAGCAGGCAGCTTGTATTCACAAACAGAGCATACACACAACCCCGCTTCTCAATACTGTGGGCTGTGAGGGCCTGACCCCCATCAGAGGTGTCCAACAGGCTGATTTTCTCCTCATTTTTACTCTCTGCTCCCACACACAGCAGGTACAGGGATTGCCTGCCCCCAGCCAGGATGATTAACCCCAAAGGGGCACGCGGGGCCAACCCCAAAGAGGCACGTGTCTCCAACCCCAAAGGTCCCTCTATGCTCTTTTATTTTACAATGAGGGTGGTAAAACACCGGAGCAGTTGCCCAGAAAAGCTGTGGAAATCTTCAAAGGCCTGGAAGGACAGGGCTTGGAGCAACCTGGTCTAGCGAAAGCCCTGCCCTCAGCAGGGGCTGGAACGAGATGGCCTTTAAGTTCCCTCCCCACCCAAAGCACCACGATTCCATAAAATTTCACCGACAACCACATCCCACGGCCCCAATCGTGTTTTTTGGAAGGAGGTTGTCACTCACCGGTGGCCCGGGGAGCTCCCTCGAGGTTGACGTTGACAAAGAAGCGAATGCTGTCGGCGGAGACGATGGTGGAGTTCACGGTGTCGTAGAGCTCCTCGCTGGCCGTCTCCTCCTTCGCCTCGGGGCCATCGTCGGTGTGGCACTTGAGGTACCCTGAGGGAGAGACAAAGAAGTGGCGAGGGGGTTTTAGGGTGTCCCGGGACTGCGCGGTGTCCTGGGACTCCGAGGTGTCCTGGGACTGCACGGTGTCCTCGTGGTCCGGGGCGGGGGAAGAGCCATCGGCCATGGTGTCCTCGTGGTCCGGGGCGGGGGAAGAGCCATCGGCCATGGTGTCCTCGTGGTCTGGGGCGGGGGAAGAGCCATCGGCCATGGCTGTGGGGCCTCTGCAGCACCAGGGCCTCTGAGGGGCTTCTCCACCGCCCGTGGCCGGTGAGGGCTGGGGGGGTAAGGAAGGGACTCCTGTGTGTTTTGGCTGAGATCAACAGCTCCCCACACCGCCCGGCAGCAAACCCACTGACAGCACCACGCTCCTCTCAGGTAAAAAAAAAAAAAAATACAGGGTGAAAACCGACTGGAAACCATAAAAACATCGAGCCCGCGGCAGGAGCTGCGTCACGGCCCACCCCAAACCCAGCGCCTTCACCGGCCACCTTGTGAAGGCAGCGCCCTTCATTGACAATCCAGCAATTTGAAACCACGGGGCAAAAATTAAGAAGTTAAAAATTAAAAGATATCAGGAGACACCGGATATCGAGAGAGACCCACAGGTCCCCACGGGGCAGAGGGAGCAGGTCACTGGAGGTGGCAGCACCCAGAAAGCGAGACAAGTTTCTTAATTACAGCAGACAACTCCTTAGCCTTTAGCAAGGCTTTAATTAGAGTTTAACCTGGCCCCATCCAACAGAAAGCTGGTCCCTGCAACATCTCATTACCAAGCAGCTGGAGAGCTCTTGTAGCACACTCATGTATCATGTTTAATTAGGAGAATTAGGGACATTATAGAATGTCGATTTTTACATTACCAGGATTATTCAGCAGCTTCTCCTCGTCTTCTGACAACTCTTTTATGCCTAATTTGAAGCAGGAGGGATATATTTCATTAGCTGGCTTTAGGCACTACACTGGAATGAAAAGGGGGAGCTTCAAGGCGGAGGCTTGAATGGAAACTAAAATATTGATGGCTTTTAAAGCCTGGTATAAGCAAATGTAGAGGCGGCAGCTGAAAGCAGCACATGCTGTCTCTGAGGGATCCAGCCAACAGTTCTCTACCACAAAACCCAAACCAGGGGAGTGAGGCCACAAACAGGAACTCGGTGACACAGGACAGGGTCTGCAGCGCTTCCTGCCACGAGCTGATGGAGCTCAGAGGTGCAAGGGGCTTCAAACCTTTAGGTGACTTCCAAACTGCTTATCCAAGGCATGGGAAACCTGGCAAACTCCCTTAGATTAATCCCTCTCTCCTTCCCCTGCCTGCTTGACAGGAATAAATGTGAATTGGTCCTTTCATAACTGCTCTGAAGGCTTCAAAAAGCATCCAAGGTGCTGCTGTTCCCATCCAGCAAAGCACACTCAGGATTCCATATTCCATCCTCTGCTGCTGGTGAAGCTCAGGCTGTTTGCAATCCTGCACAATGGAAACTTGTCCAAGAAAGGGAGGTGAGGAGAGTACAGGAAACACCTGAACCCAGGTCTGACAGCACTGTGGGCACCACCAGGTATGAAACACTGCCAGGAGATATGGCAGGGTTGAGGAGCAGCCTATGTCCTGAAGGGATGGGCAACAGCCAGACAGGGTGACTGCTGGCACCAGAAGCATTACACAGTCCTGTGCAAGCATCTCAATCCCAAATTAAGTGCCAAACTTGGAGTCTGGTTCCTCTAAATGCAGGAGGGACACCATAATCTCTCCTCAAAGCCGAGGACCCACCACAGCTGACCTTCCTCCCAGTGCCAGGAGAGTTTGGATAGCTCTACAAAGACACAACCAGCCTGAGGGAGGCTCAAATCTATGATCCTGGCTTTTCCAGCTCACCCTGATCCAGGATTGCAGCTCTCAGGGAAGTTGTCACAAGAGGTTCTTCTCCATCCTTCCCGGTTGGGAGGTACCTGAGGGCAAGATGGTCTGAGCACCCATCTCAGAGAACAGAGGTGAGCTTTTCCTCACTGTCCTAATACAATCAGAGACTCAGATGGGTAAACAGGGAAAACCCAGCAGGAAAAACTATTTTTTCCCCTCCTGAGCCCACTGAAACCAGTCTGATAAGAGTGTGGCAGCAGTGGCTCCTGAAAATGGAGAGGGCTGGAGACAGGAGAAGCAGCCCAGGAGCTGGAAGAAGGGCAAGGGTGGAGTAGGATCAGAGGGTTGGGCAGAGGTCAGCGAGGACTCTGGCAAGGGAAGCATCCTCTGTTCCTCCCTCTTTAGGGGAGGAAAGAGCAGAACAAAAGGCAGCCGAGCCTCGTGTCCCTTGGGCAAGGGACGGACAAAACACTCGGCTTGCAAATAACCCCAAACCTGGGCTGGACAGGAACTGCACCCCCGGGCAGGTGTCTGCTTTGTCACTAAACCACCTCAGGGCTTCAAACCATTCCTGTTTGGGATCCTTCAGCCCATTAGTCTGCCAGGAGTTTTAACCCACGAGCAGCTCATGCCTGTCAAAGGCAGGGTTGCCTGGAGGTGAGACGGGCTCTGTGCGTGGTAGATGCACCTTCCCCCTGAGCAGAGCTCAGTTACTGCCTCCAGCCCTGGCAGCTGCTTCCCACCCCATTCCACAATGCTCCCTAAATGCCACCCCTGCTGACTGAAGGGCAGAGGATGCCACAAGGGACAGCTCCTCCTTCAGAAGTCTGATGGGTGTTCTGCAGAAGTTCAGAGCAGGATCTGATGGCGGTGTTGCAGAGTTTGTGTAAATATCAGTCACGTTTCCACATGGAACCACAGTCCCGGTAACATTTGACAGCCTGTTCTGTGAGAAGTTGCTTCAGCGAGGCAGAGGGCAGAGTTAAATACCTTTTCATTGCCATCAGACAGACTGGAGAGGAGTTTAAGACCTCCAGATTGGTGCCTCCCCATCTCCATCACTGCAGATTGCCACCTTCAGATGATGGCAGCATTTGCTGAAGTGGCACGAGCTACACAACAGGGCAACTCAAAGCTCTGAGCAGAGCAAGTGACACCTCAGCCCAAAACATGGTCTAAAAGCACTGGAGCAAAGAGGTTTGGCTGAGTAAGAGGCCAGAGCTGAGAACTGAGTTAAGGCTGGCTGAGATCAGTGCAGCCCTCCTGCACCACGAAGAACATGTGGTCAGGACAATCCTGACCCTGTAGGACCCATCTCATGGCAAAGGGGTATGGAAAAGCATGGAAAGAGCCAGAGACCAAAGGGTGCAAGCACCATCCTTTGGTGCTGCAGGAACAAGCCCCACACCTCACCCTCTGCAGCCAGAGGCAGCAGATACCTTTACTCTAAGTCTTCCTCTACCTCAGCCCAGCCTGTGCAACATGAAAATAAGCCATTCCCCCATTTTATGGAGGTGCTGGGAAGAAAAGAAAAAGAATAAATATGGTTCCTCTAGCCATTCCCCTCCAAAGCATCACCCCTTCCCCTGCAACTCATCCCTGGCCCTGCTCTAATATCCCAATATCCAACCAAGGCCAGGCTGGATGGGGCTCTGAGCATCTTGGTCCAGTGGAAAGTATCCCTGCCCATGCAGGGTTGAAAATAAATGATCTTTAAGGTCCTTTCCAACCCCAATCATTTTGTGATTCTAAGATTCCATCCACAGCCTCCTCTCTTTCCTCTCATTGCCTCCTCAAATCCACTTCCTCTCCAGGCTCCTGCTGCCATCAGCCCTCTCCCAGCTCTGACAAGGTGCCTGCCCTGCAGCTCTTTCACTTTTGAGCTGGGTTTTAAGAGCCCAGCAGTGACTTGAGCTGCAGCAGAGGTGGCATTGCCTCTCCCACAGCAGCTCTAGTGGCACCTGGCAGCTGCAACCTGGGGAGCAGAGTGGGAGTTTGCAGGAAGCAGAGCTTCAGCCACATCAGATATGTTCCCTGGAAAAGCTTAATTGCTCCGTGGGAGCAGCACTCACAGCCCAGGGGCTGCAGATTTCTCCAAAAAAGCAAAGAAAAACAAACAAACAAAAAAATCTTAATCAGGCTCAATTTCCTGGGAGAAAAGCAGCAATATTACGAAAAACATCACCTCACACCCCGGGTGAAGAGACTTATTCCAGCCACAGCCCCTGCACATCCTCTCATTGTGTCTCAGAGGTGACAAAGCCCATTGTGATGTTTTAACCAACACCCCCAGGCAGGAGCCACTGACTCAAAGCAGTTTTTCTGGAAACACCTGATTTTCACCCTGGGCTTCCAAGGCAGTGTCCCCTCCAAGCCTGGAAAAACTGTTCTCACTTATAGCACCTGTTGGCACAGCAGTGCCTGTTCCCTCAGCCAAAAACCCAAGGCCCAGCTTCTGGAATCATGGAATAGCATCTCCTCTTCTTCACACAAGTGGTAGTTGCCCCCTCCTCCCAAGAAAGTCTCTTCAAAAAGCCAGGAAGCTAAAAGCTGCATTGAAAGAGGTTTTCTGAGCTGTGACTGGCACTCCAACACTCTCAGCTAGTCGTGTTAAAAGCCATTTCGGATTTCTGAAGTGAGTTTTTAGGCAGAGGAGGCAGCAAATTGTTTTGGAAGAACTATTTCTGCATCCATTTTCTCAGAAGAATTACAGGCCTAGTACAGAAGGACAACAAAATTAACAATAATAACATAAAACTTTTAAAAGTAAAGGAGCATCAACAGGGACATGGGCATTACCCTAAAATCCAGTCTGGCACTTTGAGCACCCCTAGTGCTCAGCTGTAACATGTTAAACTCAAGAGAGATTTAAGCCCTGTATCAACCTAAAAACTAGCCATGATAGTGGCATTAAGCTCAAAAAAAAGTCAGTTCATCTAATTTTTCCATTCAAGGATTTTTCAACTTGCTCTGGCCAACAGCACACACTAATTCTCAAGCAGGGCATGAAGTTTTAATCAAGCTGAGCTGAAGTGATCAGTCTGAGCTTTAAGCCATCAGAGGGGGGGTTTGCTTTGTTCCCTGAGTGTTGCAGGTTCTCAGATTTGCTGCATCACTCGGAAAATACCCAAATCCC